ATATCACTTACTCGAACCGTCCTGACCGCGTAGCTCAGTTGGAAGAGCATTAGGCTAGTATTCCAAAGGTCGTAGGTTCGAATCCCACCGTGCCCGGGCATATTTTTCAAAGCTCGCCCGGTGTGGATATACACTCAGAGTAACACCACAAATATCATATTCACCTGAGTACACTACACCAACACAGAAAAAATTCATATTACTAGAAAACATTGGTATTGAAGGAACTGGATTCTGTTCCGAAATATCACTTACTCGAACTGTCCTGACCGTGTAGCTCAGTTGGAAGAGCATTGGGCTAGTATTCCAAAGGTCGTAGGTTCGAATCCCACCGTGGCCGGGCACATTTTTCAAGCTCGCCCGGTGTGGATATACACTCAGAGTAACACCACAAATATCATATTCACCTGAGTACACTACACCAACACAGAAAAAAATTCATGTTACTAGAATACATTGGTATCGAAGGAACTAGATTCTGTTCCGAAATATCACTCCCTCGAACCGTCCTGACCGCGTAGCTCAGTTGGAAGAGCATTGGGCTAGTATTCCAAAGGTCGTAGGTTCGAATCCCACCGTGGCCGGGCATATTTTTCAAGCTCGCCCGGTGTGGATATACACTCAGAGTAACACCACAAATATCATATTCACCTGAGTACACTACACCAACACAGAAAAAATTCAAATTATTAATAGTATATAATTTTATGCCAAAAGTATACTTTTATTATTAAGAGAAGTTATTATTCATGTAACACAACGGTTTTCAACTTGGGGCACATGTCCCCAAGAGGGGACATTTGGCAAATTCCTAGGGGACACAAACTGGTCTAGGACTGAGAAAAAAATTCCATTATTTCCTGGTATTCGACATTGTTTCCTGGTATTGAGTTTCATTTTCACTTCCGTTTTCTTCGCGGAAGTGATTTCGCGAACTTTTTCATTTTATTTTCGCCAACGACGATGCGAAAATGGCAACTGGTAAAGTGCAGACATATTTGGATAGTTATATAGAAGTTGGATTTACGTCAATCAACGACCATGGTGTAGAGAAGCCACAATGTGTTATCTGTGGTGAAGTATTCGCTGCCTCATCGATGAAGCGTAATATTTTGCAGCGACATCTGAACCTTAAACATCCTGCCTTCTCAAATAGAAGTAAAGACTATTTCGAGCGTAAGGCTGTGGCAATGAAAGCAAGTCATCTTGATCAGACAGGACATGTACAACAAATCCAAGAAAAGCTTCTAGAAGCGTCGTTCCATGTGGCTTACAGAATTGCTAAGGCCAAGAAGCCTCATACAATCGCCAAAAATTTGATCATGCCATGTACCAAGGACATTGTCAGATTACTCATTGGCGAGGACGCCGTTAAGAAAATCAGCGGCTTGCCTGTTTCAGACAATACTATTCAGCGACGAATCCAGGCAATGTCCGAGAATATCGAAACTCAGCTTGTTACTCAGATGACGCAATCGCCCATGCTTGCCATAGCACTGGATGAATCTACAGATGTTGCCTCACTCAGTCAGTTGGTGGTGTGGGTACGGTACATACACGATGATGACTTCAAAGATGATCTCATGCTTTGTAAACCACTCGAGTTGACAACTAAAGGTGGCAGATGTGTTCAAAATGGTTGACGATTTCTTCACTGATAAAGAACTAAACTGGAATACGGTTTACGGTAGTTGCACTGATGGCGCACCAGCCATGCTGGGAGTAAGATCCGGGTTTAAGGCAAAGATAAACGAAGTCGCCCCAAACGTGTTTAGTGTCCACTGTATGATTCATCGCGAGGCTCTCGCAGCAAAAACTCTTCCAGATATACTGAAAAATGTCATGCAACAAGTCATACGTATGGTGAATCATATCAAGTCGAGTGCCTTAAATACCCGCTTGTTCAGAAAGTTCTGTAGAGGTATGGATGCCGACCACATCAACCTTCTGTATTACACAGAAGTCCGTTGGCTGTCTTGTGGGAATATGATGCAACGTGTTTATGAGCTGAGAACTGAAATAAGAGATTTTCTTCAAGGGCAGAAGAAAGATGATTGGGCTAATCTACTGAATGACAAGGAATGGCTTGCTAAATTGAGCTACCTTAGTGACATTTTTGAAAGACTCAATACTCTGAACAGGTCATTACAGGGAAAAGGTTCAAATATTATGGAGTTTCACGATAAACTGGAGGGATTTCTAGGAGTTATAGATTTGCTCATTCGAAAAGTGCGAGCAGATAGATATGCACTATTTCCGAGCTTGTCTGAATTCATTGAGAGTGAAAACTTTGAAGTGGCTAATTTAAAAGAACCTATTGAAGAACACCTTCTGTCCTTGAAATCTGAATTCGATAGATATTTTCCTGATATCGATACCGAGCAATTCGCTTTGATTCGTAACCCCTTTGATGCAGTTGAAAATTTCGATGACGATGATGAACCCGCCGAAGCCGAGCTTATCAAAATGCGTGCCGATAACTGTGCTAAAGATGTGTTCTCACGATCTCCGCTGTCAACATTTTGGTGCATAATGCGTCATGATTATCCCAATTTAGCTAAAATTGCTTTGAAAAAGTTGTTACCATATCCTTCCACGTATTTATGTGAATCGTCGTTCTCAACGATGACGGCAATGAAAACAAAATCACGTAATCGTCTCGAACTAGAACACGATTTTAGGGTGTGTGTGTCTACCACCCAGCCAGAAATTTCGAAATTGGTTCGAGATGCAAAAAATCCTCAAGACATTGAGTTCAACGAAATTAGAAATATTTCGACGATTGATGGGGTGTCGCGTGAAAGTAAACTGATTGTTGAGAATAGTTGAGAATTGTACTATAAACATGTTTTCTTGACTTTCTATCTATTATTTAAAATTTAAATCATTTACTATTTTACTAACTATTTCGAAATTCGTGTTTTTGATAGACTTCAGTGGGCAATTTCTGTTCAGGGGACGTGGTAATTCAATCATGTGAAATCGGGGGGACACATGAGAAAACCAGTTGAAAACCATTGATGTAACACCTTAGATTGTTACATTAATAATAAATATAATGAGCATATAATTTTGATTTATAACTACAGGCCTCGATTAGCTTTGCTATTTTGGGTGTAGTACTGTATTATATTTGTTATGTTTAAATTTAATAAAATGTGATTGAAAATTGATTGAAACTTTAATAAATGACAACAATCTGTTGACTTCCTGTCAATCTGGATTTTGGTCATTACCTAGTACAGTAACAACGTTGCTGGAGGCTGTTAATATATAGATGATGGTCTAATTAATGGGGTTGTTTTCATTGATCTGAAAAAGACTTTCATACTATTGACCATCGGATAATTTTACAGAAATTAGAAAATTATGGTATTGACCATAATAGTCGTTTAAAATGGTTCGAATCATATCTTACTGGCAGAACACAAAAATGATCGGCTATCAGGTTCGACGTCAGTAATGTGCAGTATCCCACAAGGGATAATAACAATAATTGTGATTTGACTATGCTATCGTAGAAATTACACTAATTTTGTTACATACTAAACATTCAGCACAAAGCTCATGACATTTAATAATATCAGCAAATTAGTTAGCCACTACTAACATATTAGTCACAGTGGCGGACACTTTACGAAAATTTCTTGGGGGGATTTTTAAATTTGAAACCCGAAAATAGCATTTGCAGCATTCTGAGAACCCATTTTGTAAAAAAATAGGTTTTCAAAACACTGTTTTAATGGTGCGTTTTGTTATAAATCACATGCTAAGTATAGAAAACTAACATTTCAGAGAAAATATTTACATGATTATTTACATTTGTGAATGGAATTGCAAGGTGCTTTAATTTAACCTGCCAATGACAATGTAAAAATGTATTCGCTAAGTGATGATGTTAATTGGATTATCCATTGTTTTTGAGCATAATAGTTTAATACCATTCAAATATCATTGTTCAGCAGGAAATTTCTCCCCTAAACAATTGTATAAGCTTCTGAAGCAACAAATAATCGACTCTGACATTTAAAGAAGTGCTGGTTGCAAAAAGTTGACCCCCTAGTATCCATCAAAAAGAGTGTATAAAATGCAAATGTTGTGACATGTACAGTACAGAAACATATATTATTATATTATGACTACAATTATGTTATTATAAGTGTGATTTGTTTTATTTGATACAAAATTTTTATAGTCTTTCAAAATTATTCAGGGGGGGGGCAGGGCTCGGACCCCCTAGCCCACACCCACCTAGTTTCTGCCAATGATTAGCCAATACAGTAAAATTCAGCTTTTAAGTTTGAGGTTAACGTTTGCAGTATAAATTTTACACATGTATCCTGATACATTTTATGTACATTTTCTGCATGAGCAGAACAGACTTGACAGCCTCTTTAATTACTATAATTAACTTATTTACAATAATTAAGAAAATAAACAACTTGTTTACAATAATTTACAATAAGACTTACAATAAATAACTTGTTTACAATAGATGGAAAGAGGAAACGTAAACAGAAAGTGCACATTATGTGGACGGTAGAGGAGAAGAGGGCTGTTTTTTCACAAACTATTCGTGACAATGTATACGCAAAGAAAGCACAGTGTGTAGATTTCTTGGAACATAATCATGGGGCATACTCATCATCACCACCATTTTCATCTGGGTTGTTTGCATCATCTAGAATTCATGAAGTGATTTCAATGAATTGATGTTATTTTTTAATATGATATTGGATAATCCAAGCAAAGGGCGCCTTCATGATGCGCTCAACCTCAAACCAGTATTTTACACATACATCCGAAGCTTCAACTCTGCAACTCTACAAAACAGATATTAATACAAAACAAATATTTATAATCTTCTTCCACCAGACATCTCAATAATTAATGTACGAAACAAACTTCAAAAAAATCTTGCTCATGACTGAAACAATCTTTATGAGATTTATAATATACCTGCTGTAAATTACTGTAATACACAAAATTATTTACTATAAAGTACAATACCAGTGTCCCATTACAGGGTGTATAAAAAAAACTGAACAGATTTGAAATTTAAAAATGAAAATTAAAGCCCAGCAAATGACTTTCAGACAAGACATAACAAAATATAAAATTTATTGGCTAACGTTTCGTTGTATTGTTCACAACATCTTCAGAGCAATTAAACTTATTTACAAGCGTGTATTATATATATACAAATAGATTCAAACAGTTACAGTATTCAAATAAGCGAATAAGAGGAAGGATGAAAAACAACCTGTCATTAAAAGCAATAGTATTAGTAAATTAAAGAAATAATGTAATGACAGGTTGTTTTTCATCCTTCCTCTTATTCTCTTATTTGAATACTGTAACCGTTTGAATCTATTTGTATATATATAATACACACTTGTAAATAAGTTTAATTGCTCTGAAGATGTTGTGAACAATACAATGAAACATTAGCCAATAGATTTGAAATTGCTCTCAATTTCGCAAAACAGCTGCATCCAGTTTTTTATGTATATAGGTTCTTTGGGTACTTATATGTTATATAGGTAGAATAATGAAAAAAAATTCTCAAACTCAAATTTTGTGAACCAGGGGGTGTGACTTTTCCAACAAACTAAAAATGGCTTGCACACAAAATTTAAAAGCTTTAATCATATTTTGAGTTAACAGATGGAACATTTGTTGGGTTTTTAATTACTGTCCAAAATTTCAGACAATTTGCTTTAGTTTAAGCCCTTTAGCTACTCATTTCTTCCTAAAAAATCAGCCTTTCGCATGCTTAATTAATGTGTAACATTAATTAATGCTGACATATGCAAATTAGGCAAAGGCATTAATTAAGCATGCAAATAGCCGACTTTTGGGAAAAAAATGCAAGTTTCTGTGAATAGTTAACAGGCTTAAACTGGATAGTAATAGCTGTTTTGCAAAATTGAGAGCAAATTCATATCTGTTCAGTTTTTTTATACACCCTGTATTGTAACATATCCCCCCTTGTTTTATAATTATATTTTTTAACATGTAGTTCAAGAAATAAAATTGATTTAGAGTAATTTTAACTAACGTTATGAAATTTACACGCTAACTGCAACTACGTATTTTAACCACCAACAAAGTTTATGCTAACCTGGTTGCTGAAGATGAATGTAATCACCGCACAAACATTAAATCCACAACCCAATGCAACTTTTCAACACTCTAGTATATATAATGTCTTCATCAGTGGTTGTGGCTGTAATCTTGTAAACTCTTTTCCAATCACAGGAAATTTATCTTCAGTGACGATGGTCAGAGAAGCAACAACAGACCCAACTGAATCAGGTAAGATTGTAAATCAAGCCAGGCCAAACAGACCCTTCAAAAGCTTCAAAAACAGGAAAACTCCAAGCTAAAAATGAAAAGAGAAAATGTATGGCTCGTATTGTTCTAATATTTTAATGGAAAAATTAATGCTTAACCATATTATGGTAACCAGGAGCTTGATGGCAACTGAGAGAACTATAATGACAATTATTAATTTCTAACATTGTCCAGTAGTCTTAATGAAATGTTTCTGTTTGCAATGTTATATCAATTTATTGATGTAAATACATGAGAAGCAAGAAAAACTTCCATGTGCTTCATATGCCATTTTTTCTATACAATTATGCCTTCTGATACTCGGCCCTGGAAACTAGTTCTTTAAATTTTATTTAATTCAATATTATCCTTTCCTTATACATTCCATTAGATGAATGTGGTGATACAAAAACAATGCAAAAGAGACAGCCATGGAAAACAAACGAAAAACAGGATGTCTTGCGGTTCTTCAAGCACAATATTGAAAAAAAAAAAATTTCTGAAAAAAGACGAGTGTGATAGATTTCTGGAGCTGCACCAAGAAAGGAAGGACAGAAGTTGGAGGAAAATTAAAGATTTTGTAAGAAACCACATCGTAAATTTAACTAAGCAAAAATAATATCAATTATAGAGGTACTCTACACATTGGTTGAGTCTACTAACAAACTTTCATTTTCGATTCATTAGGAACAGATTCGTTGGAAGTCTTAATCAATATGTTAACACCATAGTTTTTTCAAGTTTCCAAACCACGGTTTCCAAAACAAATTTGGTCACAGTATGTTGAAAATTTTGCAAACTTTCTTTGTTTTATTTTTGGAAACTAGGTCTCGGAAACTTGTTTGAATTTTAAAACCCAATTGTGGTTTTGTGATACGGAGTATTGGCTTTTAAAACACAACCCTTTTCCCTATAATATATAAATAAGGTTCATCAGTTCATATATAAATTCCTGATGGGGATACAAAGGTTATGTTTCGATCAGTATACATTTTCATAATTTGAATTGAGTCAAATTTTGACATTTTCATAATTTGAATTGAGTCAAATTTTGTGCAGGGAAAACTAGTACTGCATGACAAATGCTTACTGGAGAACGAGTTGTCGCGCTTCAAAAAATGAACTCCATTTTCATTAAACAAGTTTGAATTGTTTTCTCCAGTGGACAAACTCACTCAAGTACTCTTTTCACAAAAGATATAAATTTTGACAGCAGGCCTTGTACGGCGCTCTGTTATTATTAATTGAATGCAATTTGAAATTTTGTCATCATTGCGCATGGATAAACTTAAAATTGTAAGTTATTAAATACTTTGTTGCAACATTTAAAGGTAATGTTCAATGTGCAAGTTATCTTTGTATCACTTATCTTAGTGATGATTATATTTGTATCACTAATTTGCTTCAGTCCTTAGGTTCTTAGAGTGCAGATTTAACAGTGTTGTTCTTAAACATAACCTGGTTGCTTGAAACTAACAATAGATTGGTTATCAGATCTCAGATTAATCATGAATCTCAAACAACCAATCTGTTAAAGACCATGACAAGTCCGTAATTTAAACAAATCCTTTGTTTATATTTTGAACTGCTGTATTTGTAAAATAAGACATACTACCTGAATATCTAGCAGTTTTCTGGTTTGCTATTGTAAATTAATATAAACTAGAGTATGTTTCAATTAAAAAAAGTTCGAAAAATGCAAAATTTGGGCAATGTTTATTTCTGTGGGTCCCTCTTTGTTATGAGCAGAACTGATGTGCAGAACGGACTTGACATGGTCTTTAATAGTTCACCATTACGTTTTTACTGTGTATATAGTTGTAACGTTTTTACCATTTTAAATGCCGTAATAAATAGCCGCCTATTTTTCTTGTTGTTATAACAGTTACAACGGGCATGCTGTTACTGTGGGGTGATGATTCTGAAGATGCCATGCCACAAAAACACTCCAAGGAAGCAGATGTCATCGCGGCACTTAAATTTCCAACCAGATCGGCCGAGAGAAAAGTGGCATGGCATAAATTAAGATTGTGGGGGAATTATCATAACATGACTGTGATGGATGTTGGCGAAGGAAATCTTGTTGTGGCAAGGAAATCAAACGGGTCCGGTCATACCATAGCTGCTGATGACTTCCACAAAGCAGCACGAACAGAGGAGAAACCCGCATGCTAACCAGTCGATAACAAAATCCATCCAGGTGAGCTCCAGGCTAATGCTCTTGGGCACTTTGAAAGGCAACAATACCTGTACCATGCTAAATCATGTATTGGCTACACGTTGTAGCAAAAAATGATCAGCTCATTCTGGGGGTTGGAAAGTTCCTCGTTGAGAAGCATGATATCACCAAAGCTCAGGATTCAGACCTTGCAAGAATTATGTCTCGTTCGTCAATTGCGAAAAGAGAATACTGATGCAGAGCTTTCCAACTTCATCACTCCAACACAGTTGTGGAAGCCATGAAAGAGCTTTGTTCATTTTAAAAGAGGGCCACCAAAGTCAGATTCCTTTAAATCACTGAAAAAGTATTGGAGATTGGAGTTTTTCGGCACAGACAATGTTGGCAAAAATGCTTATCTTCAACAGGAGAAGGGCGGGGGGAGGTATCAAAACTTGCCATAAAGGATTACCAAACGAGAGTAATCTGGAATAGCATCAACAGTGTGGAAATCACCAAGTCATTTGATAAGTTCGAGCATGCACTATCAAAGAAGTAAGTACCAGTATTAATCCATCAATATTATACCCATACAGTAACCAAATTTGTTAAACATGGAAAACTTACCTCTGATGGAAAAGTATTCCATATAGAAACCCGCCTGAATATACAGTAAATACGAATATGATTTTAAGATGAGTTTCTTGTGTGAGAAAGTCTTGCCTAACTTGCCGTCTGTTTGTATGGGAAAGACTAGATAGTTTAGGTAGTGTAGTTTTTACCAAATGTTTTGTGAATTATGAAACCCTTTCATTTGATTTTCAGGCAAAACTATTCAAGGAAATTTGATTATAAAACAAAACTATAGGTACTCCATAAGAACAAGAAAATAAGTGTGCAGCTTACCCTTTGTCAATTTTCTCTTCTTTAATAAGGGATATTTTGATATAATAGTGTTTTGATTTATGGCCGATAATACAAAAGCTTGAAATCACCATTTGTAGAACTACACCTAAAATTAGTTGGGCAATGTCCATACAATCTGTCATAATGCACATCTGCCGTGCTGTGTATCCTTAAGACATATTATAATATGTTTCTAGGCCTGATATGGTTGAAATTTAGAGGGAAAAGAGGGAGGAAGGCGCCAATAATCCTGACCAACGAACGACACAACAGAGAGCATCGACCTGTTGATCCACATCAGGAATTGTGTCGGTATAGCACAAGACAACCACTATTTCTTCACAAGACCAACGAAGCAGTCCCTACGTCACATGAGAGCATGCGACTGCTTGATAACGTTCATCAAGGAGTGCCAGCCACCACTCTCCAAACCAGATGTAACGGGCACTAAATTGAGAAAATATATCACAACAATTTCTCAAGTGCTTGCACTCAAGGAGACGGAATGGCTGGTACAAAATCTCAGCCATGCTGTGAGCATTTATCAGGAGTATTACCGTCGCCTAAACAAGTCCACAATCGAATTTGCCTAGGTTAGGAAACTCTTAATCGCAGTGGACTCTGGAAATACAATGAAATAGGCGGGGAAAAGTCTATCAGATATTGATCTAGGTAAGTCGTAGCTCATGCATATCTATATCATTTACACCTTTTATTGTGGTTTTAATGGGCATGCATCCCACTGACCTATATAAAGATGGACTGAGCGCTCGAGATAAAAAATTGCCAGGTCATCACGATAGGTCTTCATGAAAATTACCACATACCAGCTGCATACTGCTATTTTCCTAACATTGGTGCACCCTTTTATAAGCCCTTAACTCATTAATAATTCAGGAGGAAAACACAAAGAAAAATCATAAGCGTGTCATATCTTTATATGTGATAAAAAATCATGTTAATTTACATAAACTTTAGCTTTGATTTTCTCGGTTTAGACAAAGTTTATTTTAAAAATTACTTCGCCAATGAACTCATATAAGATGAGTCGTTTCTTAAGCCATTTAAAGCACTTGTAGTTGCGTTTTATCAGATAAAACACTCCTACGCGTGCTTTAAATAGTACTTCAAAAACTCATCAATAATTCATGAAGCAATTATCCAATCTTGAGTAAGAAATTAGTCATGTGCATACGTCTTTATACCAGCTAAAGAACACTTTAACAAAAGACCATTGTTATGCAAACTATATAAAGATTTTTATATAAAGCTTTTTATATAAAGATTTCACTTATTATGCAAACGTTTTTGAAACCATTTAAAAAACTCGCAGGTCGTGTTTTATTAGGTCTAAAGCCACGAGCGTGCAGCTCTCGTGGCTTTAAACCTAATAAAACACTCCTGCAAGTTTTTTAAATAGTACATCAAAAATCACTTATGAAAGTATATAAGCCCAGGGCTTATAGTCTGAGGTTTACAGTATGATCAAAGCACTTGAAGCAATCTTATTCATTTTAAAAACTTACTGTACAAACATGGAAATAAAAAGCAGAATAACAACATGTTGTAACAACATACCATAACCATGGAATCAAGGCCTGGGTATGAGGCTGATGATGTCCAGCAAAAATAAAAATATTTTTTATTTTAAATCCTGTTGGTGTTGCCATGGACAATAAAATTTGAAATATATACAAAGATTATTTGATTTGATTTTATGAATGAGTAACCCCAACTGTAATTTCATGAATAAGAACAAATAACTTGCACCAAATCTGTACAGGATGCTTCTTTCAGTTTTTAGGGAATTGATGTAATTTGACAATTTTTTTCATCTTTTTTTATAACAGTTACAGTTGACCACTCCAGTGGATGGAAGAAACAGGAATGCTGTTACTGTGGGGTGATAACTTATTTAAATGTATATAGGATGGAGCTTATATCACGTGCTACGAAATGAAAGGTAGCGTGCTAAAACCTGCCGATGGCAGAGGTTCACACAAGGAAGTACAAGAATCTGAAGATGGCGGAGGTTCACACAAGGAATTCGAAGTACAAGAACCTGATGATGGTGGAGGTTCACATGAGGAAGTACAAGAACCTGACGATGGGTTCACACGAGGAATTCGAAGTACAAGCACCTGATGATGGCATGGGTTCACATGTGGAAGTACCAGAAACTGACAATGGCAGAGGTTCACATGAGGTGGTACAAGATGGTATGCCCAGTATTACCAAACCAGTTCTCCCTTCAAATTCGTTGTCAGAGTTACCAAATGTAAGTTTTTTTTTACATATAGGAACAACATTGATTTCATTGAATCTCTGCATCATTCTGAAACATGCATTATATAGTAAGAAATTAAACTTTTTATGAAAAAGTAAAATAGAAAAGAAATAGTGTCTTTAATTTCTAATACTTGCAGTCTTTAATTTCTAATGCTTGCATGTTCCTAGAAGGGGAGAGATACGTACAGAACTAGCCTAGATATACATGTCATAAAACCCAAAGACTTGGATACATTAGACGATGGAAGGTGGCTAAATGATGAGGTATTTTTATATTTTAAAATGAAGTTTAATAAATTCATCAATTAAGCGTATCTACTTCATATCTCCACCTTTTCGCATGAGGCATGTGTTTTAGTTCTTCGTGCATGTTTATGTACTATTTAAAACATGAGAAGGAGTATTTTATCATATTTAAAATGCAAGTCGCAGCCGAGAGTTTTAGATATGATAAAATGCGAGAAATGGACTTTTCTTTTCAACTAGGAGAAGCGGCAAATATTGATGTGTCCACTTTCGAGTCCAAACCAAATTGGAACAATATTCGCAACAAAAAAGATATTCGAATCGCATCGTCAAGTGAGAAACAACTTTGCCAACGGTAAGATAAATGGTGCCTTCATACATATAGCCACCTACATTTATACCAAGACGAACAACTTGCATCCACTTGCGTGTCACTGACCTTATTTCTGATGATTTGTTGTGCTTGCCACCTAAAACGAAGCTTTCACTAATTGCACATAAACATGATGTACTTAAGAATAAACTAACTTCCTACTTTTTTTGTTGTATGAGCAATGTTTAGTTGGCAGCAAGGTGCATCGAAAATTGCAAAATAGTATTTTCCTGAAACTCATGCCATCTATGTTTTTTTTTGTTAAGTTTGTACATGGTTGAGGTAGTGGGAAAGAATAGAAGAAAAGTTCCTGTGATTCTGACCATCAACGTTAAGAATGCGAAAATTGTCCTTAACAATACGAGAAAAGAGGCCAAGGTTTCCCAATATAACGAGCATGTGTTCGCAGTGAATGATGGGAAATCGGTAAACCCTCTTAGATGTCATGACGCCCTGAAGAATGCATGCAAAAATGTGAAGCTTGAGCGACCCGACCTGATGAGGTCAACCAACCTGCGGAAATATGTTGCAACTGTCGGCCAGCTCGTTGACATAAACGAGTCTGAAATGGGGTGGTTGGCGAACCATCTAGGTCACAATATCCATGTCCACAAGGAATATTACAGGTTGCCTCAATCAACCCTGGAGAGGACTGTTGTTGGCAACTTATTAATGGCTGTGGTTGAACGGAGAGCCCATCAGTTTAAAGGAAAGAATCCTAGAGAGATTACTCTGGCAGGTATGTCCATTGACAGCCACAGTGAAATAATTACGTTCTGCTCTAAAGTGAAAATATATACTGAATCGCTCAAAAAGGCGTAGATTTATTTTCTCTTTCATCAGTAAAACTGCAATATTTCGGATGTCAAGAAGCTGTGTTTACATAAGCCAAAAATTTTCATGGAAGTTGAGTCAAAGTTAAAATAAAAATTATCTACGAAAAAAATACAGAGCACATTAAATTTCTAATGTTTATTAAAGCAAGATCCTTAATGTTCCATAGCATGCAAAAAGAAGAAATATTTGAAAGAAATCAAGCAAAATCTTTAGAATATAGTAAACTTATTGGTCTTTATTAGATTTCGAAGATGGAATGGGAAGAACAGGTGATATGCAACAGTACGGTATGTTATTTAACTTAGAAAACCAGATTTCATAGATATTGCTATTCCTAGCTTTATTCCTTTATTTGTTGCATGCGAAGGGGGCTACATCCTCTGTGATAAAAAATCATTCCAATCAAACCATTTGAAGTGGAAAATTACATCACAACCTATCATACCTACTTATTAAAAAACCACCCTTCGTATTCCCATGCTGTTTCCCTTGGGCCACGTTCTCGAAAAATAAAATAATTTCGGGCTATATTGTGATGTAATCCCCCTAGTTTTATAATTATATTTTTTAACATGTAGTTGAAGAAATAAAATTGATTTAGAATAATGCTAACTAACATTCTGAAATTTACACACAAACTGCAACTAGGTATTTTAACCACCAACAAAGTTTATGCTAACCTGGTCGCTCAAGATGAATGTAATCACCACACAAATATTAAATCCACAACCCAATGCAACTTTTCGACACTCTAGTATATATAGTGTCTTCATCAGCGATCTTTGTGTGGTGATTACATTCATCTTGAGCAAACCAGAATAGCGTAAACTTTGATGAATACTAACTAAGTTCTTTTCCAGTCACAGGAAATTTATCTTCAGTGATGATGGGCAGAGAAGAAACAAAAGACCCAACTGAATCAGGTAAGATTGTAAATCAAGCCAGGCCAAACAGACCCTTTGAACGCTTCAAAAACAGGAAAACTGTAGCGTCCGTCCAAGCTCGCAGCCCGAAATCTCCAAGCTAAAAATGAAAAGAGAAAATATATAGCTCGTATTGTTCTAATATGCCACAATGAACTATACCATGCGAGGCCTCTATGTTAGAGCCTTTGTTTCGGATCTCCCGATCTATTTCCTCGGCTGTTTTCCCAGGGTAGATAAACTTGTGTAGTTTTTCCCCAACAATTTCTGTGGCACTATGCTCTTGATAACTGAATCCCCAATTAATACTACACTTTGATGCGTTGTTTGTCCACTTTGTGAAGTATGCCCACTTCGTAGATTGTCAGTGTTTTGAGTTATTTTGTCACGACTAGAAAACTGGGGCTCTTGTTAAGGTCTATACCATTTATAGACCTTTCACTTGGGGTATTCCACAAAAAATTACATATATATATACATATATACATACATACATATATATATACATACATATATATAGATATACATATATACATATATACATATACATATATACATATATACATATATACATATATACATATATACATATATACATATATACATATACACATATACACATATATACACATATACACACATATACACACATATACACATATACACATATACACATATACACATACACACATACACACATATACACATATACACATATACACATATACACATATACATATACATATACACACACACACACACATATATACATATATACATATATACATATATATATACATATATATATACATATATATATATACATATATACATATATACATATATACATATATACATATATACATATATATATATATATATATATATATATATATATATATATAT